TTTTTTCTTTTTAATTCACGAAAGGATTTCTGTTCCGTTTAACAAACGATGCCAAATATCTTGTAATATTCAAAGGACGACTTTTCTTCTCATTTAAATCCGAAAAATGGATCGTGTCACATAAGTATCATCAGTCTTCTTTTTTGTTTTTTTTTTTTTTTTTTTTCTTCTTTGTTTACAGAAAGAACCGAGAAAGTGTGAGGTGTGTGTCAGAGCACCCCCCTTAAATGGGGGCGCCGCTCTCGGACTAAAAAATTCGGCTTTCCCTTAAAACTTTCGGATCTCTCTTTTCATTATATATAATAATCTCTATATAAAAATAAATGCTTCTCGAATCATCAACGATAGAAAACGATTCAATACGAAATATTCTATATGTACAAAAATGCAATTGCGCAATCTCTCTCTCTCTCTCTCTTTCTCTCCCTCTCTCCCTCTCTGTAAACAATATGCAGCAGCACTGGAGATTTAAAATTTGTTTGTTGGTCTTTTGCTACTTTGCTCAAAAGAAAGAAAGCGAAGGTTTTGTATATCAGATCTTTTTCTATTTTTAACTTTCAAAGCTCACCGGGTTTCGGGATCATATGGGAATCACCCGAAGAAACACGGTTAACTTTTTCTTTATTTATATCTCCCTTCTTTTTCTCTCCTTTTCACAACCTTCTTTAAATTGAAACTGCTAATCACAAGACAATTTGTTTTTAAAATAAAAAAAAATGTCTCAATACGGCAATTCTGTTTGTTTTTGCTCAATAGTAAAAAATCATTCCGCCTACTTGCATGCTTTACTTGTCTTTTCTGCGAATAGAAAAAAAAAAGAGAAACGACGTTACAATAGGCTTGATTTGTCAACTACATCTTTCCGGTTTGCTCGTCACAACGGTTACTTCCATATAAAATCAACATAAGAAAATGCAGGTGTCACATGGAAAGATATGAGGAAGAAAAAAAAAAGAAAAAAAAAAAAAGGAAATAAGCGAAACTTTGCAACCGGTAGAAAGTAGAAAAACAGACTACTTTTCTACATTTTTTTCTAATATATATTCATTTTTTAAATGCCAACGAGCCTCGTGGCTCGTCTATTTTGCATGGATAACTCGGATTTACCGGAAGAACGGATTTTTATATTTTTCAGTGTTTTACTTCTTTCTGTCAAATATTTATTAAAGTGATTATATAGAAGATTTTAGAAACGGTTGTGCGTATTGTAGCTAATAGCTGACTGCAAATTTATATCCAATAACTGGACATTTAGGGATCTTTCAGAGAAGGAAATCTGTTACTTCGAAATACAGATACAGACTGCCTAACGTGTTAATTCTAAACGTAGGTTTTCAATACCAGGCGAAGACGAACTTCGTTTGCTTAAAGCGGCGTTAATTCAAAAGAATTAGCCTTTCCCTGAATCGGTGTGAAAAAGCTTGATATTTGAAATTTTCGCAATAAATGATGATTTAATAGAATATCAATGATATATAAGATGCGAGAGGCCAGAACCGGATGTGGAATGGATGTGTTTCTCAACGGTCGTTCAGATCTCTCTTATTGCCTCTTTGAAATATCATATTCATTACACGTAACATCGTGCTCCAATAAAAGATATATCCCTTTGCTCGACTTTTAAACTTCGGGCCTGTCTCAATTATTCTGCTCTGATCTCCGCAGGTAATACTGGACGTTCAACAATTCTCACCGGAAGAGATTACGGTGAAGACGGTTGGTAATAATGTTATTGTCGAAGCAAAACACGAGGAGAGACAAGACGAGCATGGATTTGTCAGCCGACAATTCATACGGAGATACGTCTTGCCTCCATCTCACGACGTGATCAACATTACCTCGAGTCTATCTTCGGATGGTGTTTTAACTATTACGGCACCCAAAAAGGTAAAAAGATGGAGAGAAGAGCTCGGTGGTGAGTCCCGAGCAAAGGACTCACCCGATGCTGCTCGATAAATGCTAGGAAAGTGATCCGTTTTCTTTCGAGCCTTTTTATGTTCCTTTTTTCTTTTATTTCCTGTTCTGTATTGATTCTGTTATTTTTCGTTCTCAATTCCGAAGTTCCATATGTTCTTGTGGTAGAGTATATTCATTTTGATAAGATGGAGCCGACGATTCATTCGACTTCAAACTACGAGTCTGCTCTAAACTATAAAAAAAAAAACGTCATATTGAATTAAACATTTTTTTATTAGATGAGGTACATTCGTGAATGTATCAAAGTATTTATCGACTTTAATTCTTAAAAAAGCAACTCTTAATAAACTTGTTAAGAGATAAATATAATATATATAATCCATAAAAAAAAAAATAATTAGTTAACAAAAGCTAAACTAAAGCTAGTTAAAATCGATAAAATTTGAAAAATCGAGTGCTCCTCATCGAAATATTTTAAAAAATCGGTATTTTACGATTCAATATTCAATATTGAACAGACATTTATAAAAATACATTTAACACAAACATTATAAAGAACATTTATTTAATTTGTGTGTATTGTTGATAAAATCGATTAATATATTTTATAAAAATATTTTGAATTTTATATATTTTAAAATGCAATTTTAAAAATATTGTATTTATTCTTTCCGATTGATATTTTGATTAGTTTCATAACTTCACTATATCTCTTTCATCAATAATAACAAATTGACTGAAGTGACGTTATATAAGTATCAATCATAATTTTTAAAAAGAATTTTAAATTTCACCAATCAAATGTTTTAAATTTTTTTTTATTACATATTCACAATGTTTTAAACATAATAATGATATTTCAAATTTAATAATTAAGTAACAACACTGAAAACTCTAAAATTAATTTCTTAATTTTATATCAATATTAATATTCTAGAATATTAAAAATATTTTAATTTAACGACTACTTACCTACTGCATATAACTCGAAGTGCTTTTCTTAAATACTTCAAATGTGTGAAGAAATTTCGAACTCTCTAATCAGATCAGATATTATGGTTGCGTACGGATTGTTCAAGCACCGACCCCGCAGGGTGCACTATAGAAAATAAATATAAAAAATCTCGATCAATTTTATAACTTGAATTATAATTTAAGAATCTAATTTATTATATCGTTTTATTTTTAGGGAGAAACACCTAGTGGAGACGAACGAATCATTGAAATCGTGAAAACCGGAGAACCAGCGGGTAAATCGATCAAAATAGAAACGACTACGGAAGAAAAATAATATGTATTATCTGAAATTTATTAATTGAATCCTTATTTAATTTAAATATCATGTTTATTATAAATTTGTTAATATCATATTTTCGTAAAATAATTTAAAATAATATTTTATATAATATTAAAAATGATAAAAGGTTTAAACATTATTATTATAAAATTTGGTTAAATTATTCCAAAATAATGTAAAAAATTTTGTAATCCAAAAAATTTTTTTAATTACATAAATATCATTCAATTTTCAACATTATCACTTTTATTCTTATATATTTATTCTTATATATTTACAATCCATTAAATTCAATGATAATTAAAATTAGCATAAGTGTCACATTAATTTATTTTTACTAATCTAAAATATAAGTAAGAATGCAGAAACGAAAATTAAAAAAAAAAAACAATAAAAAATTCAAATTATTTAAAAATTAGGAATACTCACGGTAAACTGTCGCGCTCCGCACCGAATCCGTCTCGTCTACATTTTCACGTCGTATTGTCAGCAGCCTCGTGGACCACGTAAAAGAAGTAGAGGTATGTTCACTGGTTGGTGGGTCTTCGGGTGTTCACTGCGTCCGAACTGAACGAAAGTTTGTTTACGAATGCGTCGAGCCAAGCCGGCCGGCTCTCTTATATAGGCATGCAGCGTCGCAGTGCTGAAAGTTCGAGAACTTGCACCGGCACCCGGCATCTAATGCGCATTATCTTTCAACTTGTAATTTCGATACTTTTTTCATTGTATATATGATAATCATTAATATTATTGTGTTCCTTGTGTCATGAATTATTGTTCAATAACACGATCATTATGATTTACTATTTTTTTTCGAAAATAATAAGCAAAAACCAAGTATTGATCGGCAAAGCAACGAGATTTCTGGCACATTCTCCTACCTAGCCCCGCTATAACCTAACTCACACAATCATATGCTTTCTCTTATGATATATATAGTATAGTTGTGATGGTTGAACTATGTTTACGAAAACAAGGAACGACTAACCTCGTGTTATTTGACTGTTTGTTTTCATCGTTACGTCAGGAGAAAAGACTATATTTTGAAAAACGTAATTCTCAAAATCAAGGAATATCTTTATTAATAATACAAATTTTTATGTTATTTCTAGAATATACTAGTTTATATTATATTTTCGTTAATTATTATTTTGATAGTACAAACATGAAATTTTAAGGAATATTTTCTGACTTCTTTTGTATTTATCTGATCTTTGAATAAAGATATTTATATTTTTAGTAAATTTAATAGATTTAATAATTAGATTTATATTTTCACAGATATGAGATAAAATGCAATTATTAATATATTAAGAAACAAAAATATGTTTTTTTTAAGTTATTAATCAAAATTAATTAAATATTAAATTGCGACGCAATTTCATAAAAAAATATTTCATTATATATATGTTTTTGAAACTGCGCAGTTATTCTGAACATATGTTTGTTAGAAACGAATTCTGTCGATACTAAAACAAAGCATAAAGATAAAATAAAAAACTTTTTTGTTTTAAAATAATAATTTGAAGAAATGATTATAAAAATTAATGCATAAACATAATACAATAAATAACATCGAGTTTGTAAACATGTATGAATAACATATTATAGATAAACATTTCGAATTATTACAATTGATGACGATAAAAAAAGTAATATAATTATAGGCGAATCATATAATAATTTTATCGTATTTATTTAATTATATATTAACAATCTTCCAAATTCGATGTTTCTCGTCCTTATGCAAAGAACACGTATTATTGCGCAATACAGGTTTTGCGCGACAGCTGTAGCTCTATCGATTTTCCAAGCGTGTCTTCCTACCTAGATGCATTATATCTCGTATAAAAGACGCGTAATTGATACAAGTTTATTCATGAAAATAAGAATTGCGACTAAGAATTCCGTTCTTTATGGTAAAAAATCTTTAAATGTTTTTCAAAATATATAATACATATGTAATATGATGAATTTATTAATCTTACTTTATATCTATAAGAATAGAGAGAGAAACTACTGATCAGTTTCGATATAAAAATGAGAGTACACATACAAATATAACGATAAATAGATAGATTCGCAATAGATTCTACAATTCAAAAGTGATGAAAATAAAAATGGAATATGTCAATTGATGCATTCAGCTGGATACAAATTATGTATCTATTAATGTTTTATAATTAAACTAATGTTTAATATAATTAAATTAGATTCACTAGTGTGTAACATTTTGAAATGATATATTTTCATGACAACATAACATATATCAAATGGTGCTTACTGCGTATTCTAACTTAGTGATGTCATTTATGCAATAGGTTATAACTATATTTAGAAATTAACGATATATATCTTTATATATATCAATGCATTATGATGTTTACAGCGTTTTTATCTTATGAATCAAAGTTTAAGTTTCTAAATTATTACCTATTAATAAAGTATAACATAAAAATTTTACATTCTTTTTTACATTCTAACTCTACAGAACAATTTGATGAAATTCATTCAATCATATTTTTTAAAAAAATCAACAACTAAAACTCTTATATAAAATATTTCAAACTTTGAACTTCGAAGTAAGTATTAATAATAACAGATTTAATATATATATTTATATAAACTTTATTTTCAAATTCAAACTTTTTTTTTCATTTTTTAAATTAATTATATGATTATTTTTTTTAAAAATTCAATTAATTTAAATAAAAAATCGAAAGCAAATATAGAAAACAATTTTTCTTGATAAAATCATTACAATAATAAAACATATGAAAAGAAAAAAAATGAAAAAAAAGAGAATGATGATTTAAAAAAAACTCGTTAATTGAATTGTTTAATTTAAAAAATATATAATATATAAACAATAATATATAATATATAAGTAATTTATAAATAATTTACCATTGGATTAAAAAATCAATGATTTTATGTAAATGTAATCAAAAAGAGAGAACAATTTGGCATTTAAATTCGAAAATCTCTACAAAATAAAATTACTATGGGATTAAAGCAAGCATATGTAAATAAGTAGACTGGACATACTAATTTATTTTTTTTTTACTTATGGTAATGATCTTGGCGATATTTATAAATTTAAAGCTATTTTTATTTTATTGTCATCAAATATATTTGTTGTTACAGGCATTGAGTTAATTTATTCAATTAATATCATGTATTAAATTATCACGTATATAAACATAATCGCATATATATATATACAGTAAATATACATATATATGCAATCATGTATAGATATACACATACATCTAAATTTATCTAAAGTAATAAAAAAAAGTGAATTCAAAAACTTAATTCACATTCAAATTACACACAAAATAATATTATTGTTATTAAAATTAATTTTAATTATTTATACATATATAATTACATGTATTTTTTTTAATTGATTAAAAACAAGAAAAAAATCATATAATTAATAACATTCTTACAATAATATTTATTTATACATAAAATATTTATATTACAATGGTTTACAAAGTCTCCAAAGTGTAGCTGGATGTCTATTGGATAATAATTCTAATTCTTTTATTCCTAATGGACTTATGTTTCTGATCCATTTTCGATCTTTATAATATTCCAAAATAGTTCCAAATTCTTCTTTTGAATAATTTTCAACACAAATAGGAAGAAAGGGATCTAAATGTTCAAATCCTTTCTTACCAAGTAAATATGTTGGATAATCAGAATCTTTTCTATCCTATGAATAAAAAAAAAATATAAAAGAATTATCATAATTTTAATAATAGTTTTGTTATAAATTATATTATATCAATTGTTATATACTTTATTTGCTCTTTTATCTACTGTTAATATTGCAGCACCATTACACCAATCGTAATTTACAATATTATAGAATGCAGATGTTATTGATATCTTCTCAGGTGGCACATATTTATGATTTTCATCACATACGTGTGTAATTGTAGAAGTAAATGCATTAAAACCATCTATAATAACTAATGTTTTACATTTTCCTGCTATACTACTTAATTTCAGTTCATCCAATAAAGCATTAACAACACCACAAGCAAATTTATTTCTTTCTATTCCAAATTCAATAAGATTAGAAAGTGTTTCTCCACATTTTATAACTTCTCTTTGAGACCATTTGTATTCTTTAGTAGTTTTTAGCTATTTAAATTAGATAAATTAATTTTTTTAATTATATATAATAATAAAATAAATTTCAATTGTTACTCACGTTATATTGTGATAATGATATTTCATTTAAATATTTAAAATATTTTAACCATGCTGCTGTTAGTTGAGGTAAATCTAATTTACCTGGTATTAAAGGAGATTCAGAAACTTCTCTTGCATATCGAAACCAATTACGAACTAAAAAATACAAATAAAAATACTGTTAATAATTATATAATATAATATTATAATAATTATATTTTTTTTTCATAAATAATTACTTTTAAATATAATTCATAATATATATATATATATATAATTCATACCCCATGGCAAATGAACTACAATAAAATGTTTTATAAGACCATAATGAATTAAATGTAACAACGTAGTTGTTTTTCCTACTCCTTCTTTACCATCTAATAATTAATGAAAGAACAATATATAAATTATAAATTTTATTTTACAATTAATTAAATAAATATCTTAAATGAAAAGTAATATCATAAATTTGAAAGGATACATAAAACATATTATTTATAGATTTTGTATAATCTGTTTGTTCTAAGTATGATATAAGTTCAATTGCAGGTCTTCTAACTAAAATGCCAAGTTCTCTAAAAATTGTTGTTTGCTTTTTTAATTCAATTGTCATATCTTTCATTAATAATGATTTAATGTCTGAAGGTACTGTATAAATTTTACTTAAACAACTTTCATCATGTTCTAAAGGATTTAATTCTGTGCGAAATGATGAAAGATTTATATCTTGTATATCTTTTGTTGCCGCTGTTATTATTGTTCGTCGAGCATTTTTAATGCACATTTTACCAAATAAAGAACCTAAAATTTTAGAAAAAAACACATACTACATAATTAAAATATTAATAAATAAATAAATATATATATATACACATATATGCATTGATTAATACACATAATTAGTATTAATATGTATATTTGTAATATATAAAAAAAAAGAAGACATTGATCTAATTTTTATATAAATTATTATTACATATAAGTAGACAAACATACGAGTATATGACATCATGTTGTTTAAAATATTTTAATTAGTAATAATACTTTTCTCTATAAATAATTACAAATTTTCAAATACTTATTTACTGGTAATGCAATTGTAAGTAACCAAATTTATTGTTGGACTGTTCGAATATCTTCCGAGTTACTTGATAAATTCAAAATGTTCCTATGAAAATTAAAAATACATAATAATTTTATGTTTTACATAATTTTTGTATATATTTATTATTTTTATTTAGTTATATTATAAATAATTTATTTGTGAAAAAAAATTTTTATTTTTTCTTTCCACAAAAAATATTATTACTAAATGTTTAATTTTAGGAACATATCTGAAGTAATCAGATTGTCGATCACGCTACAAGAATATATACAATCGTATAACAATAATTCTAGCAAGTTGTCTGAAGTAAATACATATCAATAAATCAAAAATGAATTTAGAATTATTAGGTAAATATTTAGCAAAATCTATTTTAAAATTTAATTATATAAATTTTTTAATATTTATAAAATTTTTTTATAGAATCATTCGGTCAGAATTATCCAGAGGTAAGATATTTTTACAAACATAATATATTTACATTTGTTAATTTTGAATCTTACAGATATAATGTTTGTAATCATTAGGAGTTTGATGGTACATTAGATTGTATATCATTAGCAGTTACTTGTACATTTAATAAAAGAGGAACTCTTCTTGCTGTTGGATGTAATGATGGTAGAATCGTTATTTGGGATTTTTTAACTCGTGGTGTTGCTAAAATCATAAGTGCACATGTACATCCTGTATGTTCATTGAGGTAATATGTCATGATTTGAAAGAATTTATTATTAATATATTTTATTTATTTCATCATTATTTTTTTTAATTAGTTGGTCTAGAAATGGACACAAATTATTAAGTGCATCTACAGATAATAATGTTTGCATATGGGACGTCTTATCTGGAGAATGTGACCAAAAATATAGATTTCCATCTCCCATATTAAAAGTTCAATTTCATCCAAGGAATCTTAATAAGTTTTTAGTATGTCCAATGAGACATGCAGCAGTTATGGTTGATGTTGAGGGTACACATAGAGTTATACCTTTGGATGATGATGTATGCAATTAATTAAATGTTATTGTTTTGTATTTTTTAATATAAATTTTTCACCTTAAATATTTAACTTTTAATTTTTAGAGTGATTTGAATATAGTGGCATCTTTTGATCGCCGAGGAGATTATGTTTACACTGGAAATGCTCGTGGCAGAATTCTAGTTCTTGATGCAGAATCATTAACTGTGAAAGCTTCTTATAAAATTTCACAAGGCACAGCTAGTAATACAGCTGTAAAAAGTATTGAATTTGCTAGACGTGGTTCTTGTTTCTTAGTAAATACATCAGATAGAGTAATTCGTGTGTATGATAGTACTGAAGTATTAGCTTGTGGAAAAGATGGTGAACCTGAACCAATACAAAAATTACAAGATTTAGTAAATAAAACTATGTGGAAAAAATGCTGTTTTTCTGGAGATGGAGAATATGTTTGTGCTGGATCTGCAAGGCAGCATGCTTTATATGTATGGGAAAAAAGTATTGGAAATTTAGTAAAAATTTTACATGGTACTAAGGGAGAATTATTACTTGATGTTGTTGTAAGTTATTTTGATTTTTAATAACATAATTTGTTTTAATTTTTTATATTTATAATATTTTAATAATAAGATATATTATTACAAAAATTTATAACGATACAGTGGCATCCAGTAAGGCCAATTATTGCATCTATATCATCTGGTGTTGTTTCTATTTGGGCACAAAATCAAGTTGAAAATTGGTCTGCATTTGCTCCAGATTTTAAGGAATTGGATGAAAATGTTGAATATGAAGAAAGAGAAAGTGAATTTGATTTAAGTGATGAAGATAAATCAGTGGTACAAGGTGAAGAAGCACAAGATGAAGAGATAGAAGTAGATGTTGCATCTATAGACAGAGTGGCAGCTTTTTGCAGTTCTGATGAAGAAATGGAAGATATTGGTTCATTACAATTTTTACCAATATCACCTGATGTAGAAGATTCAGAAGATAATCAAACAACAATGCATGAACCACCTATGAAAAAACATCGTTCTCATGACATTCACTTGCAAGGTGCACCAGTAGATGGTAATATATTATTATATTTGATAATCAATTTATTCAATTTTTCAACAATATTTTTATTTTTAGAAACTCATCCATTATTAAATAAAGGAAAAGATAAACCAACAACTAAAAAAGGAAGACCAAGATTAGAACATAGAAAAGGAAAATAATTTAGAATATTTTTTTTTCTTTGATATATATATAAAAAAAATATTTTATAATGTACAACATTAACAATTAAAAGTACTTTAAATATGATAATATTTTATAGACATAATATGCTATAAAATGTATTACTTCCTATGGAATGTATCTTACGTATTGTTTAATCTTGTGTTTTTATATTGAAAACTTATTGGATTAAATGTTAAAATAAATTTTCAATTTTATGAGTATCTATATATTAAATGTAAATTTAAATTTAATATAAACGGTTTGATTTATTTATATATCACACAAATTATTTTATTAGATTTTACTATAATTTTATCACTTAGAATAATTGTATACTGATATTTTACATTCGTTCTAATAATAGCAATACTACCAATATTCCTAAAAGTATAAGTTGAAATGCACTTAACCTGTATTTTACTATCGAATTATTTTGAGAGAAAATTAATTGATCGATAAATATTTTATCTTATCTTATGTAGCAATTTCTGAAAGCGCAATCAAAATTGCGCAGTATTTATATTAACTTGCAACTTAAAATATATTAAATTTTATTTGCAATGTTAATTTCGAGGTTATTGGCACAAGTTCATAAAAAATTGTTTCATGTTCAGAACAGAACAAAAAGAGGTGTACAATCTGCTAAAGATATAATCTTGAGTATCGGAATTATTATTATTAGTGGATTTCTTATTATTTGGTTGTCCGTGTTTCTTTATACAGCATTTTATTATGCTTATGTACCAAGCATTTCGTACGTACGACCAGTACATTTGCAATTCAAGTAAGTTTCACTTAATGCATATTGATTTTTATCTTTTTTTATATATTATTTATATATTATATATATATATTAATAATATATTATATATAATATATAAAATATATACATATATTTTAAGTTTAAAGTTTGATGATATAGTTCTTTTATATTATAGATCATGTAATGAACAAAAAGGAATTTGTAGCTTCCCATATGCATATGTGCAGTTAACAAATAAACAACAACTTTTAATGGTTGGCCAGCCATATAAAGTTAATTTGCATTTAGAAATGCCAGAATCACCAGCCAATAAAGAACTTGGTAATTTCTGAATCTTTTGCAATCAAAATATAAAATAACATTTAACAATAAATATCATTTTTAAATAGGTATGTTCATGGTTTGTGCTCAATTACGCAGCAGAGATGGTTTCCTTGTAGAACATTCATGTAGATCTACCATGTTACATTATCGTAGTACCTTATTACATGCACTTACAACATTTACATTTTCACCTATGATGATTTTTGGCACTACAGAAGAAAAACAAAATATAGTTCTTGAATTATTTGATAATTTTGAAGAAGACCAAAGCCATCCAGTTACAATCATTTATATTGAAATACAATCAAGGCATATTGAATTTTATTCTGCAAGCATTATGATAAATGCTCATTTATCAGGTCTACGTTATTTAATGTTTCATTGGCCAATTTTATCTGCTATTCTTGGTGTTAGTACAAATTTGTTTTTCATAGCACTTGTATGTACTTTTTCTTATTTCCATTTTACTATTTATGATGATTCTGGAGATGATAGTTTCAATTATGAAGAAGATAAAAATGAAGAAGAAAAACAGGAATATAAAAAAGAATTGAACATAGAAGAAAAGGAGAAACATAAAGTTACAAATGATCGTAAGTTACAATAGTTATAATATATTATATATATAATAATATTTCTTTTCATGAAATTAATATATAAAATTATTATTAAATTAACTTATTTTTTAAAGATTCATCAGACTCATCATCATCGGAAGATCCTTTTATATTGCCACATCTTATAAAGTCTGAAGAAGAATCTCATTCTTCTCACATTGAATTAATAAAAAATTAATTTATATATTTCATAATATGAAATACTTTAGAATTAATAACATGTACAAATGTTATAGAATATTAAAATATTATATGAATGTGAGTAAATATATATTATAAACATATTTATTTTTCTATATTTAAATACTTTATTAATTTTTTTTAATTCTTTTAATATAATATAAGTTATATTAAATTACATATCGAAATGCCTGTAATAAAATACTCATATAGAAATGTTTTTTTTTATTTTTTGAGAATTACAAAATTCTTTGTATATTATTTTTTTACCATTTTATATATCATAACATTGACTATATATGTTTTTATTACATTTTGTATTATTTCAAATCTTAAATATTATTAAAATAAAAAAAAGATTGTAAAAACAGATATTATTTAATTTTACATAAAATTTTACATAAAATTACAATAAATAAATTATAAATATTTTTATTGTGGGTATTTTTATTAGAGATCACATTTGAAATGCATTGATATAATTAATTATATAATTAATATTTACTTTTTCTTTTCATTTTGTATTTTTAATAATTTAAAACTTTAATAAGAACTAAAATTTTATTAAAATATAAAAGTTTGTAAGAATTGATTATTATCTCTTACAAAAAATAAGTATTTCTTTTTATTATATATATATATATATATATATATATATGTCATATGTTATTC